AGACTTGCAGACTCTGCCTTGGTGTTTGTGTTTGTCCTGGGCCCTGTATCTGTCCTGCATCCTGTTTCTGTTCCTTTGCTGACCCTGCCTGATCTGAACCGCTGCTGACTTCTCCTGCTCTGATCCCTGCTCGCTCCTGACCATCCCTCTGCCTGACCCTCTGTACCACGCTGCTTGCTACCTGTTCTGATCCCTGGCTTGTGACCCTGATCATCCCTCTGCCTGACCCTCTGTACTACGCTGCTAGCTACCTGCTGAACCTGGCTTGTGACCCCGACCCATCTCCGCTTGCTCCCCCTGTACCTACCTGCCTTATTGATATTGACCCGGCCTGCCTGACGACGCTTGCTTGTATGTACTGTTATCTGTGGGTGGTTGGTTTGGTTTGTTTGCACTGTATTATGTTTTAGTATTGCACTGCGTTTATGTTTGTATTGTTAGTGTTAATAAATTATATTGTTTATCACATATCTGAAGTCTGCGTTTCCCTGCGTCAGTCACACACCTCTGGTCACACCTGGGAGCCCTGACATTACACCAAGGCCAATCCTGACCAGAAGTGGCTGCACAGGGAAGCCATCTTGGCTTGTTGATGGGAAGGATGGATCTGGATGAGGTTGCGTATTTATCTCTGCTAGTGTTTGATGACAGGGAGTATGCTTATCAAACTCTGAAGGAGTATCCCCGGGATGAACTGCTAGAATGTATACGGCTCGCTCATGTTCTAGTACAGCGGTTCTCAACCTGGGGGTCGCGACCCCTTTGGGGGTCGAACGACCATTTCCCAGGGGTCGCCTAAGACCATCGGAAAACACATATTTCCGATGGTCTTAGGAACCGAGACACCGCTGCTCTGTCTCGCGATCTGTGGGCGGGATGATATGCTGCCCCTGTAACCTGGCCACACCTCCGGGATCACTCAACAGCTCCGCCTCCTCGCCGCTGATTGGCCACCGGAACTGTAGCTCAGGAGAGGCACACAGGTGGCCAATCACCGGCGAGGAGGTGGAGCTTGGAGAGGAGGAGCCGAGCGGCAGAGCTCGCAGATCGAAGAAGATCGAGGGAGCTGCAGGACCGAGTGAAGAGGAGAGCGGCCAGAGAAGGAAGACAGCTGACAGGTAAGTGCAAATTTTGCTTCTGCAGGCTGTAGATGGGAGAGGGAGAGAGCGAGCCCAGGCTGGAGCAGGGGTCAGCAAGGTAAGTATCATTAGTGTCAGTGGGAGGAATAGTGCCCCATCATTTGTGTCACTAATACCAACGATGGGGCACTATTCCTCCCCCCACTGACACCAACGATGGGGCACTATTCCTCCCCACTGACACCAATGATAGGCACTATTCCTCCCCCCACTGACACCAACGATGGGGCACTATTCCTCCCCCACTGACACCAACGATGGGGCACTATTCCTCCCCCCACTGACACACTGACAACGATGGGGCACTATTCCTCCCACTGACACCAACGATGGGGCACTATTCCACCCCCACTGACACCAACGATGGGGCACTATTCCTCCCCCCCACTGACACCAACGATGGGGCACTATTCCTCCCCCCACTGACACCAACGATGGGGCACTATTCCTCCCCCCACTGACACCAACGATGGGGCACTATTCCCTCCCCCCACTGACACCAACGATGGGGCACTATTCCTCCCCCCACTGACACCAACGATGGGGCACTATTCCTCCCCCCACTGACACCAACGATGGGGCACTATTCCTCCCCCCACTGACACCAACGATGGGGCACTATTCCTCCCCCCACTGACACCAACGATGGGGCACTATTCCTCCCCCCACTGACACCAACGATGGGGCACTATTCCTCCCCCCACTGACACCAATGATAGGCACTATTCCCCCCCCCCCCACTGGACACTCCAACGATGGGGCACTATTCCTCCCACTGACACCAACGATGGGCACTATTCCCCCCACTGACACCAACGATGGGGCACTATTCCTCCCCCACTGACACCAATGATGGGGCACTATTCCTCCCCCCCACTGACACCAACGATGGGGCACTATTCCTCCCCCCACTGACACCAACGATGGGGCACTATTCCTCCCCCCACTGACACCAACGATGGGGCACTATTCCCCCCCACTGACACCAACGATGGGGCACTATTCCTCCCCCCACTGACACCAACGATGGGGCACTATTCCTCCCCCCACTGACACCAACGATGGGGCACTATTCCTCCCCCCACTGACACCAACGATGGGGCACTATTCCTCCCCCCACTGACACCAACGATGGGGCACTATTCCTCCCCCCCACTGACACCTGACGATGGGGCACTATTCCTCCCCGATGGGGACACCTATGGGCACTATCCCCCCCCACTGACACCAATGATGGGGCACTATTCCTCCCCCCACTGACACCAATGATGGGGCACTATTCCCCCCCCACTGACACCAACGATGGGGCACTATTCCTCCCCCCACTGACACCAATGATGGGGCACTATTCCTCCCCCCACTGACACCAACGATGGGGGCACTATTCCTCCCCCCACTGACACCAATGATGGGGCACTATTCCCTCCCCCCCCCACTGACACCAATGATGGGGCACTATTCCTCCCCCCACTGACACCAATGATGGGGCACTATTCCTCCCACTGACACCAATGATGGGGCACTATTCCTCCCCACTGATACCAATGATGGGGCACTATTCCTCCCACTGATACCAATGATGGGGCACTATTCCTCCCACTGACACCAATGATGGGGCACTATTCCTCCCACTGACACCAATGATGGGGCACTATTCCTCCCACTGACACCAATGATGGGGCACTATTCCTCCCACTGACACCAATGATGGGGCACTATTCCTCCCACTGACACCAATGATGGGGCACTATTCCTCCCACTGACACCAATGATGGGGCACTATTTCTCCCACTGACACCAATGATGGGGCACTATTCCTCCCACTGACACCAATGATGGGGCACTATTCCTCCCCACTGACACCAATGATGGGGCACTATTTCCTCCCACTGACACCAATGATGGGGCACTATTCCTCCCCACTGACACCAATGATGGGACACTATTCCTCCCACTGACACCAATGATGGGGCACTATTCCCCCCCACTGACACCAATGATGGGGCACTATTCCTCCCACTGACACCAATGATGGGGCACTATTCCTCCCACTGATACCAATGATGGGGCACTATTCCTCCCACTGACACCAATGATGGGGCACTATTCCTCCCACTGATACCGATGATGGAGCACTATTCCTCCCACTGACACCAACGATGGGGCACTATTCCTCCCACTGATACCAACGATGGGACACACTATTCCTCCCTGACTGATACATCAAGTGATGGGGCGCTAGTCCTCCCACTGATACCAATGATGGGGCACTATTCCTCCCACTGATACCAATGATGGGCACTATTCCTCCCCACTGACACCAATGGCGGGACACTATTCCCTCCCACTGATACCAATGATGGGACACTATTCCTCTCACTGATACCAACGATGGGACACTATTCCTCCCACTGATACCAACGATGGGACACTATTCCTCCCCACTGATACCAATGATGGGGCGCTAGTCCTCCCACTGATACCAATGATGGGGCACTATTCCTCCCACTGATACCAATGATGGGGCACTATTCCTCCCACTGATACCAATGATGGGACACTATTCATCCCACTGACATCAGTGATGGGGCACTATTCCTTCCACTGATACCAATGATGGGGCACTATTCCTGCCACTGATACCAATGATGGGACACTATTCATCCCACTGACATCAGTGATGGGGCACTATTCCTTCCACTGATACCAATGATGGGGCACTATTCCTGCCACTGATACCAATGATGGGGACACTATTCATCCCACTGACATCAGTGATGGGGCACTATTCCTTCCACTGATACCAATGATGGGGCACTATTCCTGCCACTGATACCAACGATGGGACACTATTCATCCCACTGATACCAACGATGGGACACTATTCATCCCACTGACATCAGTGATGGGGCGCTAGTCCTCCCACTGCAAAATTACAGTTCTGAAGTAGCAACGAAAATAATTTTATGGTTGGGGGTCACCACAACATGAGGAACTGTATTAAGGGGTCGCGGCGTTAGAAAGGTTGAGAACCACTGTTCTAGTAGATCAGGGCACAGAGTTCTCTGAGGTGCAGCCTTTGATTGAGGTTTGTGCTGAGTTGGTTTCATCTGGTACCCCCAAATGCAGGGATGAATTTTTGCCACCATTTAGTGCAGACCAGGTAGAGTCCCTGGTATGATTATTAGAGGATGATGTGGGTTACTTTCTGGAGCGTTATTCCACATGTTCACCACAGACACTAAGAGATTGTATAAACGCAGTGCAGTCATTGACCAGACAGGCTTTGTGTAAGCTCAGCTTTGTTCAACCCATACTGCAGACATGGACAGACTTGTTGCACCCAGCCTCAGTCAGCTTACAAAAACCCAGTCCTGCTTCTAATCTATTTCCTCAAAACTCTATTCCTGCATTCCCAACAGCTCCTCCTGCCCTGCTATCTACCGCATGTCAGTACCCTGTTCCCACTCGCTGCACCTATCCTGCCTTTAACCCTGTAAAAAAGCCCTCTGTAGCAACTGCTCCCTCTCCTGTTCCATCCTCCAGTTCTTCTCTGTCTCCAGCTGCTCCATTCGTTTGCAGACCTGCGTTTACTTGCAGTGCTCCAGTAGTTAAAACCAGAAAAAAAAGCGAAAATTCTTTCCAACCAATACCATCCTGCCAGTATCCAAACCGGTGAACCTGCCTTCCGTGGTTCAGCCTGAAGCCTCTACTCAGCCTGAAGCCTCTAGGCCTGAAGCCTCTACTCAGCCTGAAGCCTGTACTCAGCCTGATGCCTGTACTCAGCCTGATGCCTGTACGCAGCCTGATGCCTCTCTTCTGCCTGAAGCCTCTACTCGGCCTGATGCCTCTACTCGGCCTGAAGCCTCTACTCGGCCTGATGCCTCTACTCGGCCTGATGCCTCTACTCGGCCTGAAGCCTCTACTCGGCCTGATGCCTCTACTCGGCCTGATGCCTCTACTCGGCCTGAAGCCTCTACTCGGCCTGAAGCCTCTACTCAGCCGGACGCCGGCATTCAGCCTGATGTCTCTACCCAGCATGATGAACTGATCCAGCCTGACGATCCTATTAGGCCAGTTGACTCGATGCCCGCTGTTGATCCAGATGATCCGGTACCTGATCCGGTGCCCGCTATCGTGCCAATTGACTCAGAGCCCGCTGTCGTACCTGGTGACTCGGTGCCCCCACTGCCTTGCCAGATGACGCGGTGCCCGCTGGCGAGCCAAATGACCTGATGCCTGGTGACCCAGGCCCGCTGTCATACCTGGTGACCCGATGCCCGCTGTCGAGCCAGACGATCCAATGCCTGGTGACCCGGTGCCCGCTGTCAAGCCAGACAATCCGGTGACCTGACAAACCTGATGACCCGGTGCCCACTGTCGTGCCTGTTGACTCGGAGCCCACTGCCTTTCCAGATGACGCGGTGCCCGCTGTTGAGCCAAATGACCTGATGCCTGGTGACCCAGTGCCCGCTGTCATACCTGGTGACCCGATGCCCGCTGTCGAGCCAGACAATCCGGTACCTGATGACCCCGGTGCCCACTGTCGTGCCTGTTGACTCGGAGCCCACTGCCTTGCCAGATGACGCGGTGCTCGCTGTCGAGCCAAATGACTTGATGCCTGGTGACCCGATGCCCGCTGTCCAGTCAGACGATCCAATGTCTGACCCAGTGCCCGCGGTCATGCCAGTTGAGCCCACTGTCGTGCCTGGTGACTCGGTGCCCGCCGCTTCGCCTGGGGGCCCGAGACCTGTCACTCCGCCTGAGGGCCCGAGACCTGTCGCTCCACCTGGGGGTCCGGCGCCCGCCACTCCGCCTGAGGGCCCGAGACCTGTCGCTCCGCCTGGGGGTCCGGCGCCCGCCGCTCCGCCTAAGGGCCCGAGACCTGTCGCTCCGCCTGGGGGTCCGGCACCCGCCGCTCCGCCTGGGGGCCCGATGCCTGTCGCCCCTCCTGGGGCCCCGATGCCTGTCGCCCCTCCTGGGGGCCCGATGCCTGTCGCCCCGCCTGGGGGCCCGATGCCTGTCGCCCCGCCTGGGGGCCCAATGCCTGGCGCCCCGCCTGGTGGCTCGGTGCCTGCTGCTCCGCCTGGTGGCTCGGTGCCTGCTGCTCCGCCTGGTAATCCGATGTGCCTCTGCCCGGAGTCCAGCCCGATGTGCCTCTGCCTGGAGTCCAGCCCGATGTGCCTCTGCCCGATGTGCCTCTGCCCGATGTGCCTCTGCCCGGAGTCCAGCCCGATGTGCCTCTGCCCGGAGTCCAGCCCGATGTGCCTCTGCCCCGATGTGCCTCTGCCCGGAGTCCTGCCCGATGTGCCTCTGCCCGGAGTCCAGCCCGATGTGCCTCTGCCCGATGTGTCCTCTGCCCGGAGTCCTGCCCGATGTGCCTCTGCCCGGAGTCCAGCCCGATGTGCCTCTGCCCGGTGTGCCTCTGCCCGATGTGCCTCTGCCCGATGTGCCTCTGCCCGGTGTGCCTCTGCCCGGTGTGCCTCTGCCCGGTGTGCCTTTGCCAGGTGTGCCGCTGCCCGGAGTCCCGCCCGGTGTGCCAGTCTTTGATATCCCGCCAGTTACCAGACCCGGGCGGTGGAACATTTTGCCCAGCTAGGACTGTTTGGAGCGTCCTGAGGCCGCTCCTTGAGGGGGGGGTACTGTCAGGAATGGACTGGCCAGCAATGGTGGGACTCACCTGCCTTTTGATCTGCAGTACCAGGGCTGGCCAGCGGGTGCTCCCAGCAATCAGAGACTCAACCTTTCAGCCAGCTAACACCTGGAACTGATTATACTGGTGTATTTAAGGGATGGCCAGACTTGCAGACTCTGCCTTGGTGTTGTGTGTTTGTCCTGGGCCCTGTATCTGTCCTGCATCCTGTTCCTTTGCTGACCCTGCCTGATCTGAACCGCTGCTGACTTCTCCTGCTCTGATCCCGGCTCGCTCCTGACCATCCCTCTGCCTGACCCTCTGTACCACGCTGCTTGCTACCTGTTCTGATCCCTGGCTTGTGACCCTGACCATCCCTCTGCCTGACCCTCTGTACTACGCTGCTAGCTACCTGCTGAACCTGGCTTGTGACCCCGACCCATCTCCGCTTGCTCCCCCTGTACCTACCTGCCCTATTGATATTGACCCGGCCTGCCTGACGACGCTTGCTTGTATGTACTGTTATCTGTGGGTGGTTGGTTTGGTTTATTTGCACTGTATTATGTTTTAGTATTGCACTGCATTTATGTTTGTATTGTTAGTGTTAATAAATTATATTGTTTATCACATATCTGAAGTCTGCGTTTCCCTGCGTCAGTCACACACCTCTGGTCACACCTGGGAGCCCTGACATTATCCATCCTGACCAAGTGGGCTTCATACCCAACAGACAGTCCTCGCATGGCACAAGGCGATACCTTAACCTCATCTAGTGGGCTGAACGCCACCACTTGCCTTCTCTGCTTATCTCTCTAGACGCGGAGAAAACCTTTGATAACGCTCATTGGCAATACCTAGAGGCAGTACTCCTAAAGCTTGGCATTTTTGGTACTCTCCTCTGAGCCATCATGGGACTGTACTCAACTCCTAGCGCCAAAGTCTGGACATCAGGTTTTTTATCAGACCCCTTCCCGATAACAAATGGCACATGCCAGGGATGCCCTCTCTCACCCTTGATCTTTGCCATGGTGATTGAACCCTTGGTACAGGCCATACGCACCCATCCACAGATCACAGGAATACAAGTCGGTCACACTTCCCATAAAATAGGCCTCTATGCCGACAATATTATTATATCTTTGACAGATCCGGAACATTCTTTGCCCCACCTATGCTCACTCCTTGATCAATTTTCTAAAATTTCCCTTCATAAACTCAACCACACCAAATCAGCTATGTTGGGAGTTTCCCTACCATCAGATACTAAACAGGATATAACCAAGATTTCCCCCTTCTCCTGGGCTCCAAACTCCTCCTTGACATACCTGGGTATCCAACTCATTGCTCCCTTTTCTAATCTCCTACGAATTAATCTATCTATACTAGTCACTAAACTTCAAAAGCTCAGCAAAAACCTCAGCAAAGACTTCAACATCATCAAAGCTTCATGGGCAGGACGCATAGCACTCGCCAATATGTTGATACTACCTCACCTTCTCTACTTTCTTGCCCATACCTATTCTAGTGTCTGATCTACAAAAGCTACAGTCCATTATCAACCACTTTATTTGGGCGGGCAAAAAAACAAGATTAAAAGCCTCCACACTATGTACTCCTAAAACTTTGAATGGATTGGGAGCTCCAGATGTCAAGAAATACTACAAGGATACTATCGTAGACCAAACTAAAAACTTGTGGACCTCAAATCCTCGAATTCCCTGGCTCCAAATCGAAACGACCGCACTGGACTTACATCCTGAATGTCTATTAGGTGCTCTTTGGCTGGGACACCATTCTCCCCGATCTTTCTAACACACTATCCGAGCTACTACTAGCTCCTGGATCTCCAATATACCATTATTATCGCGACAACTACTCTCCCCGGACTTAACTCTCCACCACTGGGTTGCTGCAGGTATACAGAACATTGGGACCCTCTTCTCAAAGCAAGGCCTCTTATCCTTTCAACAGATCTCCAACAAATTCCAATTGAGTAATAAAGACTTTTTCATATACATTTACGCATACGATCTATCCTCTCCAAAGGTCCCATTGCAACATCTACCATGACGAGAGACCTCCTAATGTTCTACAGATCTGCTAAGCCCACACAGAAAGGAATATCTACAATCTATGGTGCTCTCGAAAAACAGGATTTAAATTCTAAATCATATTGGAAAAAAACATTACAAATTGAGGTTCCTACCTCCATATGGTACCATGCTCTTCGTGCACCTCGTTTTTTCTCTACGAAATTATCTCACACTGGGAATCTACCATGAAAATTTACTACACATGGTACTTTACACCGAGAAAAACTTGCAGCTATCTACCCCAACTCAACCTTGGAATGCTGGAGGAATTGTGGTCTTGAGGGTTCTCTCCTTCACATGTGGTGGTCATGCCCACCTATATGTATCTTCTGGAAAGATGTATCTGAATTTATTCAGGGTTTGACCAAGACCACTGCTGACCTTACCTCTGAGTTGGCCCTCTTCGGCCTTGGCCTTCAAACATGGCCATCTGTTTTTCACCCTGTACTGAATATTCTCATTGCAGCACATCTCTCAACAGCAAAAATTTGGAAAAAACCCCAAAACTCCCTCACTAAATTCAGTTATAACCAATTTGAATGTAAATTGCCTGATGGAATTTCTCTTTGCAAAAGCTCATCTGTCTCTACCAAAATGTTTCCGCCACTGGCAAATTTGGCCTAATGATACTAGATCACATCATTTACAATGAACCCATTCCCCCTCCTTTATGAATTCTTTATTACGCTCCAGGTCTTTTCTTGGGCAAACCCAAATGCAGAGCCATTCTCTGCTACCACTACGGTACAGTACTCCCCCTAAAAGGAAAACACTATGTACTCACAGATATTTACTGTTCCTCTCCTCGCTTTTCTCTCTATCACGCAAGTGCCTCATCCTTTCCACCCTACCCTGACTTATCCTTCCTTCCTCTTCCCTATTTCTCTACAGTAAAGTTGATAGGACACTGGGATTGGCTTTTCCCCTACACAGGGATGACCTAATCAGATAGTGAACTTGCATTGTTCATGGCAAGAATATTATTTACCTATATATGTATGATTCATATAGCAAAAGTTTGGAACATGTACAGCTCTCTTGTGCATGGTCTATGGAAGGTGGTAGAGGTAATTTCCTCTCACCCCCTATGTCTGTGCTCATATCCAAAACCAGTGTAATTTGTTTGTTGCATTGTTTGTTACTCATACAAGATTTTCAATAAAACCAAAGTTATAAAAAAAAAGAAAAATATATACATTCAGATGCTGATTATACTGTTTAGGCCAAGCCGCAGCCCATCCCTAGTCTCCTGCTGCATATTCTTCAAAGTAAAGTTTTATTGCCGATAATGCATACTTTATCAAAAATTATTAGTTTTCTGACATATGTACATTAACATGCATCTGTGCATTTACCTCCATGTTGTTCACCTATGGAGTGACCTAGAAAACTCCATCCAAAATTTTCATGTTCAGTCTCCTTTAATCTGTCAACCCTACTAGCATCCAGACATCCTCTAAAAACTTTTGATTAGCTATTCAATGGAAAAATAGGATTTTTTTAGGTTTAGAATTCAGGACAATATTAAAGTATAAAGGAACTTCCATTGTCAATGTAGTGCATAGCGGACTCATCAGAATAGAGCATTCCCCAGAGCAATAACAAGGTGCATTAACAAGATATGTATTTTCTAAGACATTACAATATAGGAGTAAACAATTTAGTAGAGGACTGAATAATATGATCTTTTTATATGCAAGAAATGTATTGTGAGCATAACAAAAAACCAATGGCAAAGCTTAAACAGTGTTTTTAACAATTGAATGCATTGCAGACCAAAAGAAGTGTACAATACAGGGGCTTAACAATGATTATAATTGTATTAAAATGCTTAACTAGGGCACCATTTGGTAAATAATGAACTAATTTGTTTATCTATTGACATAATACAATAGAATTATTT